GAAAACTTACCATGATGTCAGAAGCATAAGTCTTAATAGTCGAATTGTAGAGAGTTCTGACTGAAGGTCGTGTCATCTCAATTTAATTCTTCTCTACGGCTTGTAAAAATTATTGTCATTTGCTTTCTTTTTTCAGACTACAAAAATTTGACTCAATAATTCTTATGTTTCATCGTATGGCTAATTGTAATTATGTCAGCACAACACTTTGGCATATAAGTGTAATTGAGCGAGATGAGCGGAACAGCAAATACTGTATGCATTTAAATAAATAGCTTAAAATGAGCTTCAATGATTGAAATTTATCATGATTCGATTTTATTTTTTATTCTCTTCGAAAATTAATCCAAAAGAAAAAGGAAAATTAATTATAATTCTTCAAACTTTGTTTTAAGCAATATCATTGAATAAAAGAAAATGATTTTCAATATGTAAATTAATAATGAATATTGTTTTTTGTTTTGAAATATATTCTTAATCTAATGACACATTTGAGCACTTTGATTTTCATTGGTATATATATATAACTGAAAAAGATAGAGCGAACTGTTCCTCATTGTGAGTAAACAATAAACTATGTCAAAACAAAAAAATTCTTTCAGAATTTTTTATTCGAAGTATTCATGTGCGATCAATTCATCAGATTTTCATCATGAAAAGTCAGCACTGTCATTAGTCTTCTCCTTAATAAAATGTTGTCAATTTTAATAGAAAAGAATTCTTTTGATTCATTTCGACAATCATTTGTGAGTCTCTTCAATAAAAAATGTTCACTTTTTTTGTTTAAATNTTAACAATGTCTCGGTCGAGTTCGAAGAAGAGCAGGATCTGTCAAGAAATGGCTGAGTTATCGAAAAAATTGTCATTATTGAGAAGACCATCCCTGAAGGGGGGTACAGGGATTTTTTCAAAAAAAATATTTTTTTCTCCGAATTATTCGCAATATATATAAATCGACTCAGTTTTTAACGCTGATTCCGAATCTGATGTTAGTTTTGAACCAAATCGTAGCTTTCTAACAAAACATCCCCCGAAAAAGGTCTCAAAATGCAGAAAAACTACATGAAGAAAGCAAATAGTCTAGATATGTCTCAGATGATAAAAAACAAAGTGAATATACCTTTTCACTTTTTGAAGTACACATAACACTCGGATTTAAATCCGATGTTTTCGCATTTATTTTAAAAGTACAATCATAATACTAATTAACTAATGCATACATATGTTTGAATTTCTATTCTCTGTATAGTTTTTTTCTTATTGAATATGAAAACATAAACATAAACTTATTCGTTTGTTTGAATGCTATTTTTAATTTGATGTATATGTATACATAACAGAACAAAAAAAAAACAGTTGTTTCAATCGATTATTTTGTAGTATATCGTGAATAGAAAAACACTTTGTTTTGAGAAAAAAAGTTTTACATTCTAAAAGTATTCGTAGCTAATGATTACTTTATATCTTTATGCTTTATCTTTCACTTCTGTTGTCGAAAAATATATTGAATACACGATCCGGTTGTAATCTTTTATTATCTTTGTTCAATTTGTTTTTCTTAAAATGTTTCATCATTATAGAAATTGCTTTTTATAAAGTTAATTGTATATTTTTAGAAAACTTGAAATTCTCTTGATTGTATTTATTAAAAAATAATTTCAGTATCATTAATTTCTTTATTTAAAAAACCAAAACTTAATAAAAAGTATGAATTTCTTGTACCTACAAATTTCAGGTGCATTTAATGTACTCAAAATATTCTTTAAGAAATCTATGAAAAAATTTCAAATTTCTATAGTAATAATAAATTTCAAAACAATATATTACATTCGATATATTAAAGAATTGCAAGATGAAGCATAAAAGTATGGTGTACCAGTCGACTACAAAAACTTTCAGAATATATACTTTCTATTTTCTGAAGAACGTCTTTTTTAATAGTGGCAATAGACACTAAAAGAATTGATTGTAACTATATATATTTTTTTGATTATGTTATATATATTCGCAAGAAAAAATATATCTATCATTGTTATCAATTACATGTTTTCTATTAAATTAATATAGATCGGGTACGGTCAATTTTATTGTATTTGTATACAAGATGATAGATATACAAGCAATGTAGAAGATATATAGAAGAAGCAAACAAAGAATTGAAGGCCACTTTGAAACAACATGAATCATCATCATCTACAGATGAAAAAAAGAACACAATAAAAAATAAATACATCATAACTCGTCACAATATATTGTGTAATGGTACACATACACTATTCTTTTTTATGCTTCAAGTCGGTCATGAAATTCCTCGTATGATATTGATTTGTCACCGTTGATATCAAAGAAATTAAAGAGACTAGCATCATTTGGATCCATTCGTAGTTTTAGAATAGAACGACCAAAACGTGGCCGACCAATGATAGCATAATACTCGTGTACCTTAAATGAAAGTAATTCTTATTTAAATTAAATTAAAAATGATGAATAGATGTAAACATACAAGTTGTAAATAACGTTTAAGTTCTTCACGAGAATGAAAACGTTCTGGTCGTGGAGGTGGGGCTGAAGAAATAAAACAAATAAAATATTTAAATGAATCTTTTTCTTTATAAATAACTTACGTGGAACATCACTGAAACCCGAAAGAACTTGAGCTGTTTGAATAGCAAGGACAATGAATACAATCCATGACACACGATTAGCAAGTTTATCTTTGATGATTGACATGATCCTGTTGTTTATTTATTTTTTTTTGTTTAATAGATATTTAACTTTTCAAATAAGATAATTATAATCGTTTTAATAATAAGGAAGGTTTATGTTTTCCTATTGATGTTTTGTAGACTGTAAAAGAAAAACAAATGAGAATAAATGAATAAAGAAATATATAAAATTTGTTTTTCAAATACTCTACAACATAGAAGAGAGAGAGCACAAGAAAAAAAAAGAAGTAATTAGTTTCGCATAGTTTTTAAGAAATCAGGTTTTGTGCATGTTTAAGATCTCTCTTTTTGAAGGACTGCTCAGAATTTTTCATATAATTAATGAATATGCATGACAAATAGAATAATCTCTAATTACACATTTAATATGTTTATCACGTAAAGAAATCTATATATAAATATAAATATATATATATATGTTATCTGTTTTTTTTTTTTTCGTACTATAATAAATTCATTATTGTACGACAAATAGAATTGTTTAGCTATCCTTTTTTTTCTTACATCTTTCTATCTTATTTATTGCATAAGATTGTAAAAATGAACATGTACAAAAAGAAAATCATGATTACTACTTTATGAATAAATGTTTGACATGAGACTCTCAGTCTTATTGTCTGCATGCATTTCATCTTTAATTAAACAGTACATGTCTCTTGACATATCTCTATATATTAGGAAAAAAGAAGAAAAAAAAAACGATGATATCATCCAAAATGAAAATGAGAAGTTAACACAACCTGAAACTTGTACTTATTAATTATTTTCCCATGACGTAATACTTTCGAAATTTAGATTAAAACTAGATGACAAAGATACTTTAGTGAAAAATGCAGTTTATCAACTGTTTTTTTTTTTTGTATGAAAAATTCTTAATAATAATAAAAGATGTACCTAGTCTCAAACATAAAAAATGTTTCAAACAAAAACCTTACAATAGAAACTGCTAAACAGTATATAGCAGGACAACAGTTCAATCCTTAACCCCTGGCTTATTGATAAGAAATAAAATAGAATGATTGTGCACTATGCACATTGTTGTTTCTTACCGTAGATGTCTAGCATGAGACACGCTTAACATTTGCTCCTATACGAATTTTTCTCAAAAATATGCACTTTACGTGATTACATTAGTTTATTTTGATGATAAAGCTCTTAACATATTTTTGGATCACCGGTAGCCAATGGGCTAATTATTTTATATCCACCTACGAGCATCAAATGATTTGCTGCTAACATGATTTTTTTATAGATGTAAATGCTAAAATAGCATAGTACAGAAATTCGATCCATGATTTTGTCTTCAATAGAAGAGTTAAGAAGCACGATTAGGTCAAAATAGCAAATATCTTTGACAAAAAAATCAATCAAATATGTATTCCTGACAGGAAAAACAAAACTAATGCGACTTAAATAATAAATATAAAAAAAAACAATTAATGTTGTCATAGATTAGCAGTTGTTTCATTAATCAAATAATTTTTCTACTAATGAGATCAAATNTATATCTATATAACTATGACTAAAACTAAATCTATTCCTATGAATAACATGGGTACCTATGTATATCTATATAACTATGACTAAAACTAAATCTATTCCTATGAATAACATGGGTACCTATGTATATCTATATAACTATGACTAAAACTAAATCTATTCCTATGAATTACATGGGTATCTATGTATATCTATATATCTATATAACTATGACTAAAACTAAATCTATTCCTATGAATAACATGGGTACCTATGTATATCTATATAACTATGACTAAAACTAAATCTATTCCTATGAATAACATGGGTACCTATGTATATCTATATAACTATGACTAAAACTAAATCTATTCCTATGAATAACATGGGTATCTATGTATATCTATATATCTATATAACTATGACTAAAACTAAATCTATTCCTATGAACAACATGGGTATCTATGTATATCTGTATATCTATATAACTATGACTAAAACTAAATCTATTCCTATGAATAACATGGATACCTATGTATATCTATGTATATCTATATAACTATGACTAAAACTAAATCTATTCCTATGAATAACATGGGTATCTATGTATATCTATATAACTATGACTAGAACTAAATCTATTCCTATGAATAACATGGGTATCTATGTATATCTATATAACTAGAACTAGAACTAAACCTAGTCCGATATATATTGATTTATTTTATAAGTCATATATGACTGTTGAGGATGCATTTATATTATAAGTCGAATTAGGCAACTCATGAATAATTTATGTTTATATTACTAATAGATGATCTTGATCGATATAATGAATTGATGAATTTATCTGATCGAAATGAAAAATTATTTTATCGAGTTATTGCAGGTAGATTTTATATTTGATATGATCAGTAATTTTATTTCAAATTATTTCTAGATAATCTAGAGAAACTTATGCCAATTGTTCACACACCAACAGGTATATACTTTATTTTCTTATACAAAAGAGAAAAAAATATATCGAATAAAAATTTTTGTTTTTAGTTGGTTTAGCTTGTCAAAAATATGGTTTAGTATTTAGACGACCAAGGTGTGAAGCCTTCTTATCTAATATATATATATATAAATCTTAATAAAAAAAATATTTCTAGAGGTTTATTTATTACAATACATGATAAAGGTCATATCTATGATATATTGTGCAATTGGACAGAACAACAAGTTAAAGCAATAGTAGTCACAGATGGTGAACGAATTTTAGGTTTAGGAGATCTAGGTGCTTTCGGTATGGGTATACCTGTTGGCAAATTACAATTATATACAGGTAATTAAAATTAAATGACAATGTTCACTTTAATCCTTATGTTATGATGAAATGAAATATGATTTTTCTAAGTATTTCATGACAAAAAAAGCATTATTTCGAAAGTTTCTTTTAAAAAAAAACTATTACCAACCTACATGCACATGCAATGCTGAATAAAACATACTATCTGTATCATTAGATCTTACTGTTTTGTTCACTATAGTATGAATACAAATACACGTCATTACCTATAACATGATTATGTAAATAATAAGGAAACTATGGCAGGTACTTTCCGCTTTCATTGTCAAACTTTTAAGTGCAGAAAAAAAAACATCTTATCATTCTCAATCTATATTTCAGTATCTATTATGTAATTTCTATAAGTAGTACAAGCACAATAATAACCATTAACTATTCATAACTTAATGAAATCCAAATAGTTCTCATATATTGAATAGAAAATAACGTCAAACTTAATAGCTATATTGTTCTCTGTTGAAATAAAAGATACAATTATTGCTATTTGTTATGGTACTACTTGAAAATTTGAATAAGATTTGTATAAACAATCATAACAAATAAAACTAAACTCATAATATTTTCTGAAAGTCATTGTAAAACTAATTGAAATTATATTTTCGATGTTCAATGGCGTAACCAGGATTTTTAAACCAATGGGCAAATCTCTATTGTGTCGAAAAAACATGATGGGCGATATGGGGCAAAATTTTTATTGAAAGGCCAAAACTGTTTTTGATCCAACAAAGTAATAATAACATAACAAAAGTACAGCAATGGAAATGAGGTTATTTTATCAACACAAAAAAGAGAAATAAGGTTGCTTTATTTAAAAAAATGACAAGTGATGTTTTATCAAATATACATCAAATTCAGATTTTTAGCCCGGGTCAATTGTGTTTTAGTCAACTTTTAATGTCTTTTTTTCGAAGAAAAAATATAGCTTAATAATATATTAGTATTAGGTCGCTTTTCATTAAACACATCGCAATGTTAGTATGCTTTGAAACAGAATAATAAAATGACAAGTGCACAATTGTGTATATGTATAATTGTTCTTTTCTTGTCATATATTAATATGGAAGAGGAAACACGACCATCAACTGGACAAGCTAGGCTCCAGTTCATTTTGTTCCATACCAGTATATAAGAAAAGACGAAAGGAAAAAGAAAAGAAAAAATATATTCAGAATTGTGAAAAAGTAAAATTTCAATGGACATTTGCCAATCTCTGATTACGCCACTGCTGATGTCTTGGTTGAATAAATCAGGAAAACAAAATAATATTTGACATGTTTTCTTTTAGCTATTGCTGGTATATCACCACGGCATTGCTTACCTATTATGCTTGATGTCGGTACAAATAATCAAGTTAGTAGATAGAAATTCTTTTTAAGACAGAAAAAAAGTAATTTTCATATTCTTGTTTTAAGGAGATTTCATCAAATCCTCTTTATATTGGTCTACGACAAAAACGTGTTATAGGTAAAGAATATGACGAGTTCATTAATGAATTTATGCAAGCAGTTGTACAACGGTAAAATATATTAAATTATTTAATTGATAAAAATAAAAAAGTTAATTTTCTAGTTTTGGTTGGCATTGTCTTATACAATTTGAAGATTTTGCAAGTCATAATGCACACAAACTTCTTGAAAAATATCAAAAAAAATATTGTACATTTAATGATGACATTCAAGGTTAGATTTCTAAAGATAGAATATGTTGAAGGCAAAAACAAACAATTCTTTCGAGTAAAATTCATCGAACTCGTTCTATATTCTTGTGCAAAAAAAAAATATATATTTATTTTATCGGTGGGTCAAAGAGACCTTTTTATATGATTACCTACCACACGAAAAGAAGAAGGTTCGAAAATAAAACAGTGTACAAATAAGGATAATTATTATAAACATGTGTTTCGGAAAAGAGAAATGCGATCGATGAGATTATTCTCGTTGTTTTTACCTTCATCTCGATTTCCTGACTATTTGACACGATTCAATAGATTTATTAAGATAAAAATAGAAAATAATTTTCTAATTTAGGTACAGCTGCAGTTGTTCTTGCCGGACTCTTTGCAGCACTTCGTATAACTGGTAAAAAATTAATTGACAATACATATCTTTTTGTTGGTGCTGGTCAAGTAAATAAACTATAAAATTTATCAATTCAATTTTTAATAACATATTAGTTATAGGCAGCCTGTGGTATTGCTGATTTAATAACACATGCAATGATACGTGAAGGATCATCTATTGAAGAAGCACGAAGTAAAATTTGGATGTATGATATTCATGGACTTATTGTTCGAGTAGGTTTTATAAACTTTTTTTTTTCTTTTACTTTAAACAATGAATAGAAAAAGTAAGTGATTTTTTAATGTGTTGAATGTTTTTTTTTTTATGTAGAATCGACCTCAAGGTAATATAGAAGGTCCGAAAGCATCATATCTAAAAAAAGGAAGAGCAATTAAAGATCTTTCATCAGTAATTGATTATGTCAAGCCAACCGTACTAATGGGTAGCTATCGTATTTCTTTTTAAATTATATATTGATTTTCCTGTTTTTTTTTTTATAGGTGCTAGTGGAGTAGCACGACTTTTTCATGATGGTGTTCTTAAAAAAATGGCTCAAGTTAATGATCGTCCTATTATTTTCGCTCTGTATGATAAAAGTACACTATTGAAATAGAGAAAAAAAAAGTTTTTTTTTTTCGTCTAATAGATCAAATCCAATTAGTCGAGCTGAATGTACAGCTGAAGAAGCATATCGAGAAACGGATGTAAATAAATATTTCTTCATTTAACTTTTCATATATTTATTTTGTTCAGGGTAGATGTGTATTTGCGTCAGGTAGTCCATTTAAACCTGTCATGTATAAAGACAAAACATTTCATCCGGGTATCATTATTCTAGACAATTATATATATTTTTGAGATTATCTTCTTTTTTTTTGCTAGGCCAAGGAAATAATGCATATATATTTCCAGCCATTGCTCTAGCTACCATCGCATGCGCAGCTCGTCATGTGGAAGATGATATGTTTTTAATCGCTGCTCAAGTAATTGCTTCCTTTTTTTCTTCAACTAATTTTTAGATTTATCAAGTTGCTGTAGGCAAGAGAATATTATAGACTATTGAATAATTTTGAAAATTTAATTAGTTTTATTAGATTTATTTGAGAAACATCAAGGTAGTGATTAATGTATTTGAAGATAGACATCATTATCTTCGTATTTGTCTACATTTGAAATATAATTTTCTTTATGTTACAAAGCTGTCAGATTCATAACTAGAAGATTTTTATGAAAAACACGATGAAATGGCGCAATGATAAATGTGAACTTCTCAAGTACAAAGCTAATACCTCGACTGTTATAATTTGTCATGAGACAAAATTTAACATGTTGATTGAATACAACTTGCTAATGGTAAATGAGAAAAATAGTCAAAAAAAAAAATCAATGCTTCTGATGGTAATATTTTTCGATCTGTACCTCACCGTCGAATTTCTCTGAGAGATACTGCAGGTGTATCATCTGAGAGTGTCACCGATAACTTTGATCATCAAAATATAAGTTGTCGAATTTCAGCAATTTGTATATTAACCGTTGATTAGCTGTTATTAGAGCAGAGAAAATTAAGTATAGTTGAATCACTGTTGTGTTGTGCTTGAAACTTGGTAATTTGGGTTATTCGTACAAGAGCACATTGACTTCAGTTTAATCTTGTGATAGCCTCTGGAAAGTAAGCCGCATCAGATTAATTTTCTATCTTAAGCTAGAAGCTAAGAAATGATCATACTGACTTTCGAAAGTATACCATGTATCCATATTGATAGTCAATATACATAGTATTCATTTTGGAAAATTCTCTTAATTAAAAAATATTTTTCATTGAAGAAACTTGGTTCATTAGTAACTCAAAAAGACTTAGATTCTGGTCGTATTTATCCACCTATACCAACTATTCGTGAAGTGACTATCAAAATTGCTGCTCATTTAGTCGAACATCTTTATAAAGAAAAGAAAGCTTGGTTTCATCCGGGTAAATTCTTGCTTGTTTGTTTTCTTCTCTTTGTTTTATTTGATTTTATACGTAATTTAGAACCAAAAGATAAAGAAGAATTTATTCGTATGCAATTATATAACACAAATTATCAATATTTTGGTCCACTAACATGGAAATGGCCTGAATTGCATAAAAAACCACGTAATGTTCCATCTATGGATGACAATATTGTTCTTGAGTCCTAAATAAATACATTTTTTTTTGTGCAATTTGTTATTTTTGTTTCGGTTTTAAAATATTAACTCATAATAAAAAGAGCATAATTCTTGCAGATGATATGGTTAATTGCTGTTTCAATTGGTTGTTGTTCATTAATAGTTCTTCGATTATTATGTCGAAAACGAATTAATATTGATGGAAAAACAGTTTTAATTACTGGTGCTTCATCAGGTCTTGGTGAAGCATTAGCAAGACGTCTTTTTAATAAACAATGTCAATTAATTCTTTTAGCAAGACGTATTGATCGTCTTGAAAATTTACGTCAAGAACTTTCTAATTTACATCCAACATATCCAAAACCCAAAGTAATTCAAATGGATTTATCTAATTATGAACAAATAACATCATCATCAATATTAATGAATATTCTTGAACATGAATCCATTGATTGTTTAATTAATAATGCTGGTATAAGTCAACGTTCATCTGTACTTGATACATCAATGGATATTGTTAATGATATATTTCGTTTAAATTATTTTTCACTTGTTACATTAACAAAATTAATTTTAACAAAAATGATTGAAAAGAAACAAAAAAATTCAACTATTGTTAATATATCAAGTTTACAAGGTCTTATTGCTGTGCCTGATCGTAGTTCATATTCAGCATCTAAACATGCTGTACAAGCATTTAGTGATTCATTACGAATGGAACTTAAAGAACAATATGCAGAACAGAATATAAATGTTTGTGTAATTAGTCCATCATATATTCGAACTGAACTTGGTCAACAAGCATTAAATCGACTGAATAATAAAAATGAAAAATTAATTGAAGATAATAAATCATCAGTATATGAACCTGATTATGTTGCTGAACGAATTATTAAAGCAATTGAATATCGAGAAAATGATGTTATTATTGCATCATTTCAACAATGTTTAGCAATTTGGTTAAGAAGATTTTGGCCGGAAGGATTTTTTAAAATCATGGTAGCAAGAAATAAACGATTAAAAGCTAAAAAATAAAGTGATTTTATTGACAGTTTTTTTTCTTTCAAGACTTGATACATTTGTTTTTCTTCTTCATTTCAATGTATTCTATATATACTTGATTGAATAAATTGTTTCCCCTCTCTCTTCACAAAATAAAATTCCACTTCGCTTCTAAATCGTTTCACAGGTCTAGCATTTGGAGGCAGGCTTTTATTGTGATCAACTTTTTTGTATTGTAGCTGTGATTTCATTCGCTTGCAAGCACAGAAGTGCATAAGATTTGATGAATTGTACTTTTCAAACTGTTTGAAAACTGTGATATGAGCTATGATATTTATCAACGAACCAGTAATTGATTTCCATCTTTTTCCAGTTGCGTGTGATCAGATAACTTGAGCGATGTGTTCATTATACTGCTTTTCTCATGCACAGATTCATCGGCCATCAGCACTTCAATGAGGTATGTACTAATGTGACTTTGCCAGGCGACATTATTCTAGAAGTTTATGTAAAATTCAGAAATTATTTTGAAAGAAGTATAAAGTAAATCTTTGACTAACAAATGATGTCTTCTCATTTTTATAAAGTAGATAATTCAGAGCTTATGAGTGTTTCAATAATGGATAATGTACTCATCTCATACTTGCACTTATTTTTGAGTCCGAAAACCTTTCGCAAAATTTTAACTAATCATATAATTTCATTTCTCGATAATATTAATCCATACAAGTTTTTCGACTCACAAAAGAAACTCGTTTGTTGGTTAATATAAAACATGTAGAACAAATGGAATTAAATACACCAAAGAATATATAACTAAACAATGAAAAGAAATGAACTTATCTATTCGATAATTTACATTGCTATTTTGTGTTCGTTCCTATAGGATAGATTTCTATTACACTTCGAAGATTATAAGCTTGAGACTGACCGTCTATTTAGTGTGAGGATTAAAAAATTGCTCATTTATAAAAACACCAACCAATTAAGGTGCTAAATTCGTCATTTAAACGTCCTAATTTTAGTGACAGTATATACTTCAAACTATTTTCCATTTATCAATCAATTGTCCATTTATTTATTTTTTATTTGATCTATGCAAATATCAGACATAGTTGAGATTTAGGCAAAATGAAATATAGCTTTTAAATGAACTTATTATAAAATAATTTTAAACAAATGAAAAACAGAGATATTCTTAATCCTTTACTCCATATAGTAGCTCCAGAAGAGTTGCTAAAAGAATAATTTTTATAAATATGGTATTAGTCTTTTCAATATGCTAATAGTGTTCTCAAATTCATCAGGTGTATTGCTCTTCGTGCAGATTGATTTTGTTTACTTCAATAACCCTGTGGTAGAACAGAGTGATTGAACGATATAAGAAGTATTAAATGGAAAATAGCAGTTTATATACCATGATCTTGAAGCTAAAGAAATAGAAAGGAGTGAACACAATAAAAACTAATTGTGATATAATAGATATGCTTTTGATGCATATTGTCAAATAATCAGCTTTTTCCGTTTAAAGTATTGTATTACCATTAAAGACATTTTATCCATATTGAATATTATTTTAGCTTCTGATCTGATGAGATTTACAATACATACATTAACACTAAAATTGAATATGCATTGTTTGCCTAATGGTGAAAACTCGACCTATTGTGTTCCATATCGTCTATGATTCCCCAAACTAATACAGTACTTTAAGTCACTAGTGTGATCTCTTCATCAGTCTATGTAACACAGTAAGCCTGACAGAGCACTACTGGTTGAAGGCAGAAAATAATTTATTTACAAAATCTCAATTTAAGAGGAAAAAGTGTACTTCTGTAGTATGGCAGTAAACTTTTCCCAGCTTGCTTCCACGTTTTATCTCATGCTGTTGTTATTCATATACATTCACAAAATGTTATTTATATTCAAAAATATGTTATTTGGTTTGACTCATCTCCATTAAATGATATATGTTTGAAAAATTTTAATCATTCTCATACATGCCAATGTATAACTGAACGACAAACTTCTTTAAATGATGATTGAAAGCATAACTTTTATGGTTTCAATATCATAACTGATAATAATAATAATAAACAGAATGAAGATTTATCAAAATGTTATTATTTAACTAAACCATACTGTCATACCTCGTGGGATGGACCTGCTCAAATTGAACAAGGAACAGAAATAAAATTGCCCTTCATGAATTTCTCTTTTTACCAGCATACTGCCTGATAGTACAAATTAATAAGAGTTTGTTATTATTCTATAGTACATAGTTTTGTTTTTCTTTTGTATACAATATGGATGATCGAAATACTAAAATAATGTTGATGATGAAGAAAGATCAAAAGTATTTGTTTTCATCCTGTTTGTTTTAATTCTCTGTTTGCTTTGCCATAGCTAATATCATTATTATATACATTTTATATATATGCAGGACGGTCAATAGTAAGGAAGCAAGTCTGAGTTCTAACAAAACGTTTTTTTTTTGAAGCAATAGAACTAGAAAATGATACACATAATAATGCGTATTTGTGAAATATTTTTAGTAAGGAAACTTTTCACATAAACTGCTCAATGTGTTCATATTCTAAATGTTTGCAAAGCTGCAATCGCTCAGGTACTAATTGACCCGCTCGTCGACATGATTTCGCTGGCAAGCTTCATCTTATTTATACGCTTTTGGACAAGTTCTTATATCTAGATGCTGATTATATCCTGCATCTTTGAATTATATTGCCTAGGACATGTGGTAAAAATATGAAATTTAACTGAATATGTACAAAGAAAAAAAAATCGAAATAATGATTTTTCCTGTTACTTTTGATTCACCCTGTATATAAATAGGTTAGTGCCGAGACCAAATTGCGTTTTCACTGTCCAATTTTTGGCATGTTAAACTTTTTGTTTCTTTCCTTAAGCTACGGGTAAAAAGTAAAAGACAAGGCATAGTTAGTTCTACAATCAGAAAAAAAGAAACTCGTTTTTTAAAGTATTAATTTTTAGTATTTATATCCATAAAGAGCAACAAGGATTACTATCGGTATGAAAGCAATTTGTTCATGAAGGTATATACACCCACGTTCACAAGATTCCTGAATTGTTTTTATTTCGTGAAAACGAAATGAACTACACTCATGAGTTCATATTTTAGGTGTGGATGTGAATCTTCTACTCCTCCAAACTCACATCCCGTACCCACATCCTTTTTGCAAGAATGAGTAAAAAAAAACTAATCAAGAGAAGAATATATCATAAAATTTGGCAAAACCAAGTCACATTGGAAACTCTCTAGTTCTGCGTATTTTAAGATGTTTCGAGGTATCTCTGAAATACAGAAATACTTAGAAATATACTTTTTTTTTTCTTTGAAAATAACTCACAAATCTTCTCTTTTACAAGAAAGCCGGTTTGATCGTGCTCGTTGTTTAATCCGGCTGATGATTATCCGCTCACAGACGTAAAAAATAAGATTACTAGCTCACTTGTAAATCTAAAAACTTTTTCAACATAGAATCCTCAGAATTTTAGCAGATGTTTTTCAGAGTGATACTCAAGTCAAATCAATGAAATCTATGTTGTTTATCATGCGTCTAAATGATGCATATCATGGACTTCTTCGTTGTCTTCATCATTTCTTTAATTGCGATCTGTTATTCTACGTATCTATTAACAAAAAGCATATTCACTTTTTATTGTTCTTCAAAATAAATGCTAAATAACTAATCCTATTTCTGTTTTTTTTTCAATCATTTTTTCCTTGAGAAAGATGTGTTGGATTTAAATTATCAAATTTAATTTCATTTTCACCGATAAAAAAACATATTCTTTTAACCATTCTTGTTTAATGAAACAACATCTTTTATTTATGCAAGAAGAGTTTGTTTCACAAATAAAAAATCGTTAACTTTTGCTCTTTAGACCAAAAATTTCCATTAAATGTAAAACATATGAATAAATGTTTTTTACCAAATGAACGTGAATTTCATCATCTGCATTTATATATCGCTGTTTCAGTTAAA